TGGGTGTGCTGAAGAGGCTCCAGCACCCACCTACCCCAGAGCTGGCACCCACCCTCATTCTCCAGCTTCCTCTTCTCCAGCTCCGCCTCGATCTGGTCCAGCACCATGGCCAGCTCCCCAAGGATCTTCTTTAGGTAGCTCACATCATCGTGCTCCAGGATCTTGGCCTGGGGACAAGATAGGCAGGAACGAGGGGAGTTAAGTTGGCTTCCACTGAGCCTGGATAACCAAAGATGGAAGGAGCTGGACCCCAACCCCCTTTGGCAAACCCAGCCTCCAAATACCCCGTCAGTGAGCTTGGCTGTCCTGATCAGACCTGGCACTTTCATACACCAGCTGCTGTGAGGATCAGTTGATAGCAGCTCATTGCTGCCCCTTCTCGAGAGAATTGCTCTCAGGCAACAAGTCTGCATGGAAATATTTGGGAGGTTATCTCCCACCCCTTATACCCCCACCAGACAATCTGTAGCCAATGACTGACTAACACAGGAGTATAAAAGGCTTGCCCTTTGCCTCAATGTGGATTGAGTTTGTGGTGACACTTATGCTGCAGCGCTTCCTGTGGGATCAGGAGAACTTGGTGCCCACTTCTTCCCTATCCCCCCCCCCCTACTGGGTTCTCCTCACAACACTCCTTCAATGCCACTCTTACCCAAGAACCTCTGTCCAGTGTTCTGCTCTTAGGGTCACAACCTAAGATGTGAGGAGACCCACCAGGGCCAGTGGCTCACCCAAGTTCAACTAGCCAATAAATGACAGAGGAGACAGGATTGGAAAAGCAAGCCATGTTGTTTCCATTTCATGTCATCAGCTGATCCTCCATTTAGAACCAGCTTCTTCCATTTGTTCTGTTCCATGAGAGAGATGGTCGGGAAGGGAACTGGGCAAGTCTGGAAGCACTCACCATGAGCTTCTTCTGTTTGGAAAGGTAGGGCTCAGAGAGCTGGGGTTCCTCTTCATGGTCCAATTTCATGAGGTCTGTGGTGGCATTGGCTAAATGTCCTGGGGAGAGAATAAGGACGTCTCCATCTTTCTGATACCCAGGGCTACCCGTAACCCTTCTACCACAAGTTTGCCAGTAGGTCCCACTCAAACATTGGCCTGGGAAATAACAATATCAACAACCAACACCTAGGAAGCACAACAGGCTGCAAGGTAGGGATGGATGATATGCCATCCTGCCCTAGGCTTGGGCTAGTGGGAGAGACAGACACATAAATAAATCTTTCTGATACAGCATGATCAATCTGTAATGAAGAGTGAACAGAATGTTGTGGGACACACAGGGCCACCAGCCTGGGCCACCAGGCATCAAGTAACCTCACTGAGGGAGGAGACTACTAGGGGATGAAGAGGAATTTGCCAGAAATGGATAGGTTATAAACCTGGACAAACACGTATTTCAGAGCATGTCTCCCCCCACCCTTTCCTGTGGTAAGAAACAGGTTCAGAGAGGCTAAATAATAGCCCACACTAGTAAATGAAAAACAGGTTTCAAGCTTGGGTCCATCTGCTAATTCTTCTAGTGCTCACTCACTATAGCTCACAAGGAAAAACTTGCTTAATGTGAGAAAAACCATAAAAGACTTTTGGTGTTGAAACTTTTTCTGGTGAGGCAATTTTCCTGAAGATTTGGGGATATGCTAACCCCATACTTCCTGGAAAAACTGGCCTTTTAAGAAGCCAAAAAGGGAAGGGTGATGGAACAGTGGGTCAGTGATGGAACTCAAACCATAACCTTGAGAATTATTCTTTTTTTAAGAGTTATTTATTATTTGAGAGAGAGCAAGAGTGAGAGAGAGCACAGGAGCAGGAGGGAGGGGCAGCGGGAGAAGAAGTAGACTTCCTGCTGAGCTGGGATCCCCTTTTTTTTTCCAGGATCCTTTTTTTAAAAAAGATTTTTATTTATTTACTCATGAGACACACACACACACACACACACACATACCGAGAGAGAGAGAGAGAGAGAGAGAGAGAGAGAGAGAGAGGCAGAGACACAGGCAGAGGGAGAAGCAGTCTCCATTCTCCATGCAGGGAGCCTGACGGGTCTCCAGGATCACGCCCTGGGCTGAAGAGTCCAGGGCACTAAACTGAGCCACCAGGGCTGCCCTGAGCCAGGAGCCTAATTAGGGATGGAGGGTCTTGATCCCAGGACCCCAAGATTATGACCTGAGCTGAAGGCAGACACTTAACTGACCGAGTCACCCAGAAGTCCGAAAACTATTCTTAATGAGAGAGAAGTGCCCTATAATCTAACTTTGAGAATCTAACTGTAAACTCTGGGGACTTATAAGAGGAGGTGAAAGCATCATGCAGGATAAGATCCTGGAGTTTGTTCCATGATCGGGGTGGAGTCTCTCCAAACTTCTTGGCCAGTAAGTTTAGGATGTGGCAGGTCAGGTGGACAGTGGTGCCCCAATCCTGCCCTGCCCTTTCCCTGTGTCCCAACTCCACTTAGAGATCACTTAGGTGCCTTGAACTCATCCTGGCCCACCCGGCCTCATCATCTTCCCTGCTTCACCTGCTCCTCACCTGCAGTCTCCCCCAACTGCAGCACCCTTGCCCCACACTGAGCCAAGCCAGATGCCTGGGGGGTGCCTTCAATCCTCCACCTCATCCCTGCACCAAATCAGTCCCAGGTCCTGTTGATTCCTCTTTCTTATTCTTTCTCATACTTAACTTCTCCCTGTCAATCCTGACTCCCTTAGTTCAGATCCCCTCATTGATGTCTCTGGATGATGCTGACCCAGCCAGAGGCACCAGCACTCTCTCCATTCTGTGCCCTTCTCCCCACTTACATCAAAGAGGTCTTCCTCAAACACACAGTTGACCATGCCACTCCCTACTTAAAACCCATCCCTGGCTCCTCGCTGCCCTCATATAACATCCAAGTTCTTCAACTTGCCTTTAAAAAACAGCAGGATCCATCTCCTCTCTTCTTACCAACTCCATCTTTCATTGACTTGTCCCACCTGTCCCTGTCCCCAGACTCCAAATGCTTGGCATTCCCTGAATGTACCAGGCCATTCCAAACCTCTGGGCCTCTACTCAGTCTACTTCTACCTCCCGGGATAGCTTTCTCTGTGTTCCTCCCAAAAATCCCCTTCTAGCCCTAATTCAAGATCACCTCCTCCATGAGGTCCGCCCTGAATCTGACCACTCAATGCCTTTGTCCTCCAGATTTCTGCCAGAAAGTGCAAATACAGTAATCAGAGCCGCCATTGCACATATCCATTCACATTGCAATCTATGTGAAAAGTGCCCCCTGGACTTGTGCAGTGCACAACCTGTACCACTAAACATGGAGATTTTGTTGTACTTATTTCTGGATGTATGTGTCTTCTACTAGAATTTGAGTTTCTGGAGACCAGTGGCTCTGTCATACTTGTCTCTGTTTCCTTAAAACCCAGTACAGACCTGGCACAGAACAAGAGCTTAGTGAGAGTTGAATGAATGAATGAATGAATAGGATGAGTGAATGAATGACTGCAGGTATTCAGCTTCTGCCTTCTGATATCTCACCATCTACCACCCCATCTCCTGGACTGATACAAAACCCAGTTAAACACACTTCCAGAGGGATCCCTGGGTGGCGCAGCGGTTTGGCGCCTGCCTTTGGCCCAGGGCGCGATCCTGGAGACCCGGGATCGAATCCCACATCTGGCTCCCGGTGCATGGAGCCTGCTTCTCCCTCTGCCTGTGTCTCTGCCTCTCTCTCTCCCTCTCTCTGTGACTATCATAAATAAAAAAAAAAAAAACACACTTCCAGACCTTTTAGCTTTCAGGCTATATTAAGTCTCATCGATATTTTATGAATGTGAAGGTCAAGTATGGCATTTTCTTTCTTGCCAGTCACCCAGGGCTGCACATGTGGCTGTCTTTAGACTCCAGGAGGGCAAATCAGCAAAGCCCAGGAAAGACCTTAGGCTGATTGGAGGGGTCATGCAGGATGATTTCTGTATCCTCTGAGATCCCCTTCCCTCCCCCAGTGGGGCTGGAGCCCTGAGATCTTTCTCCTCAAAAGAGGAACAGGCTGGACCCCTCACTGCCTCCTAGACTTCTTCAAATGACTCATGGCAGAATGAAGAAGGGCCTCCAGCCCCCAGAAGCATTTAGGGACTATCTTCGCCTCGTCCAGGTCACCACCATTGCTCACCTAGATGACAGCCAGGACCTCCTAACTGCCCACCCATTCTTTTCTCGGTTGAGGGAACTTTGTAAAACGCACATCAGATCATGTCACTTCCCATCCCTGCTTCTCCACTGCTCTTTGGACAAAATTCCCATTCTGCCAGACTCACTCCCCAGGCTCGCACCACAGCCACTCCTACTTCCCTTGGGCTACACTTCATCCACATTGAACTTCCTTCAGTTCCCCAAACATACCACACTCTCTCCTACCCCTGACACTGAAAGGATTCTCTAGCTCTCCTTCCCCTGTGCCTCCTGGTCACCGTTGGATGTTGCTGCATTTCAGAAGCTCTCCATGCTCCCAAGGCTGAGATGGTGACCTTCCCTGGTCCCATAGCCTTCCTGCTTCCTTATCATAACACTGAGAGGCTCTAGGGTGACATATCTTTAATCAACTAGTGTTTGAACAGGTTATATGTACACACTTGTTTAAAAATCCAAACAATATTCAATAATGTACAGTGAAAAGTAAATCTCTCTCCTCTGAATCTGTGGTCTCTTAGTTCTGCTCCCCAAAAGCAAACACCTTCTCATATATCCCCCAGGAATTCTCTGTGTTTGCAAGCACCTGTGTGTCCATTTAACCCCCTTTTAAATATGTTAATGATACCACACTAGGTGCATTTTTTGCCCTTCATTCCTACTTACTAATATATCTTAGTGAGCATCCCATATGCTTATTTTTTAAAGATATTTAAATTCAAGTTAGTTAACATATAGTGTATTATTAGTTTCAGTGGTATAATTTAGTGATTCATCAGTTGCATGTAACACCCAGCGTCATATGCTTATTTTTTTTAACAGCTGTACAGTGTTCCATCATATGGGAAGACTAGAAGTGTTCCAGTGTACGGGAAGACTAGAATTTATTTACCCAGTTCCCAACTCATGCACAGCTGGGTTGTTTCCAGCTTCTTGCTGTTACCATCTATGCTGCAATGAATGTCCTTGTACATGATTCATGGTGCACAAAGCCAGGTAAAACTGCAGGATCATCTCCAAGGTGTGGGTCTTTCTGTGTTCCATCTAGAGTGCCAGGCTGCCCTCCCGAGAGGTTGTTCAAACATATTTAGTCCCACGCTGCAATCACCTGGTCACTTGTAAGGATGGAACTGTGACCCCGGGATGGTAGAGGCTGTGGCTGTCCCCATCTGTCCCCAGCCCCCTGCCCAGGTCCTGGGCCATAGTAGACCACATAAATGTTGTTGACTGAATGGAGATACGATGATATTGCTAAATTCCGAGTCTTGTTTGAGGGTAGTACTCCAAAGGGACGGGATCAAGTTCCACAACCTGCCCCTTCCCACTTTTAAACATTGGCTTCAAGAGGAAGAAAGTGACCATTTACTGACACCTAGTATCTACTTAGAACACCCAGAGGGATGCCAGAGAGATTAATAGAGACAGAGAGAACAGGGTGGAGAGAGAGGCAGAGAGGGATGGGGGCGATCAGGAGGGAGAGGAGGAAGACAGCTGGTAAGAGACACACAGTGGGAGGAAGAGGTGGAGGAGGAGAACTCCTGTTGAAAGCAGAAAGGTGGGCAAACAAGGGTAACCCGTGGCACTCACTGCGGATCTCGGCCGTGGCGTACTTGGGGATCATGGAGTCAGTGGTGAGCTCGGGGTGCAGGATGCAGCCGTGTGTGTAGGCGTCCATGGGCAGCGCGTCCAGCAGCTCACGGTACTGCAGCACCCTCGCGTGCTGTGGGCTGCCCGCCTCAGGCATCAGGGTCACCACGTGATCTGCGGGCCGCAGCCAGGGTTGGGCTGGGGTTAGCAGGGCCTGCCCTGGCCACCTACCCCATCCCTCAATCCCAGGGAAATGTCGAAATCCTGAAATGTCGAGGCCCACAGGGTCTACCCCTTTCCCCAGGTTGACACGGGATCCTAGCGGTCCTGCCTGCCCACCGGGAGTCCTGCCAGCCTGTCTCCTGGGGGGCAGCTCCTCGTCACTCCAGGCTTGTTGACCGGTGGGGGTCTAGGCCCAGTGTTGCCAGGCTTCAAGAGAAGCCAGAAACCTGGATGTTTAAAACTGAACTTTCTTTGATTTTTAATTGCTGGCAACTAATTTTTCTCTACAGTTTATGTCTGGCCCCTGCCCCTTGCTCAGCTGTGGTTTGCGGCATCTGCCGTAGGCAGGGGGCTTTTGAATCCGAAGGGGGCTGGAGGAAAAGAGGGAGACATAGGGTCCTGTGGGTTTCTGTGGTGTCTGGGCCCTCCTCACATCTGCAATGTTCTAGGGTACTTGGGTCCCATGTCTATGGGGTTCCCGGGGCTCCATGGCCCTGACTATGCTTATAGGGATTCAGTGGGCTGGGCCCTGTCCATGCCCTGGAGTGGCTGGAAGATCTGGGTCCTGTCTGTGGTGTCTAGGAGGGCTTGGGTCCTGCTCCTGCCTGGGGGTTCTGAGGACCTGTGCCCATGCCTCTGACTCCAGGGCTCCTGGGGAAGGAGGCTGTAGCCCCAGTGCTCCTAGGGGCATGTCTGGGCTAGCCCTATCCCTGGAGTATCCGGGAAAGGGTTTGTGGCATCCCAAGCATCGTGGCCATGCCTGTAGCTCTGATTCCTGCGGGGCATCCGAGCCCTGTTTGCAGTCCCATCATTCCTTTTTCGGGAAGACTGGGCCATGTCCACTGCCCCAGTGGGCTTCCTCAGGCTCCCCAAGGTTCTGGGAGCCTGTCTGAGCCTGTGGGGTCCCCGGGGTCTGTGGCTGAGCCCCTGGTGGGTACAGCAGCCGTACCTCCTGTGAAGGTTCGCTCCACGTAGTCGATGATCTGGTCATAGTCGCTGATGATATTGTCTCGGTGGATAATGACGGGCACCTCCTCCCCCAGGTTGAGCCGCATGAACCAGGGCTCCTTGTGCTCACTCTGTGGCAGGCTCACGTCCCGCTCCTCACATGCCAGGCCCTTCTCGGCGATCACCAGCCGCACCTGCAGGCGCCAGGGTCAGAGCGGGGAAGGCGGGCAGACACAAGGGGACACTCTGCCTAGGCGGGGTGGGGCATGCAGGGAGGGAGGTCAGAGGTCACACACAGGAGGTGACACTGTTGCTTCCAGCTCATTCTTGGGCTTCTGGAGGTAGGGAGGAGTTTTGGGGGGGACTCTCCCACGGGCCCAGGGCCTCTTGGTGGGAGGAACACAGCCCTACTCTGGGGCAAAGGGGCAGTGCTCCCTGCTGGTTATAGGACTGGGTTTCACAGTGGGACATACCTGGGGTAGGATTCTGGGCTCTGCTATGTGTGCTTGGGCAGATTTCTTAAAATTTCTGAGCCTCAGTTTTCTTATTTGGAAGTATTAATAGTACCACCCCAGGGTCTGGTACATGGCATTCAACTCATGATTTCATTGTCATGATTAGACACTCAGCCTGGCTCCTAGGGGTAGATCAGGCCAGGAAATTCATAGAAATTCTTATCAGCATAATCAATAGCTAAATTTCTCAAATTATTTGGGAAATAAAACAAGGTGCAAAATAATTTGCCAACACCAGCTGAGTCTTTTAGTGCCCCCACACACTTCCCATCTGTTGTTGGATGCTTACAAAAGCCTCTTAGAAGAGAGTAGAATAGGAACTATCCCCTTTGTCTTGATGAGAAAACCAAAGCCCAGAGACAGCAAGTAATTTCCCCAAAGGCACACAGCAAGTTAGCAGCAGACCTGAAACTGGAAGCAATGGGTCCTGACTCCCAGACCAGTATTCAAATGCCCTGTGGGCACCTTCAAGGAGTCTTGGCCCTGTCCCTCCTTCATCTTTCCTATGTCTTTAAGGGGTCCCAGACAAACATTTGAGCTACTAGAAGCTAATGGAGAGCCTTGAGGCTGGGGTCTGCTCCTGACCCAGCCCAACATTTCTAAGCCAGAAGACAATCAGAGGTCACCTGGTCCAGCTGCCCCCTGCCAGTGGACTGAGGCTCAGAAAGAAGACGACTTGTCCAGGTCCCCCAGAAGAAAGATGGCAAGTGACTCCACCCCTCCCCACTAATGGCTCCAGTCCAGGGGAAGGGAAGCAGTTGCCACTGGAGACTGGAGACTGAGGCCAGCAAAAGTGGTTCTCCGGGAGTGTACATGTCCCCACACAGCCAGTTGGTAGCTCTTGGAACTAGGCATCCCCAGCCTCCCTCCCAGGTGCCAGGAGTTATGCACAGAGGGGCAGCATGGTATCCTGGGTCAGACCTTGGACTGGGTGCCAGACTGTCAGTTCAAATCCCAGCTCTAGCACCTGCTTGCTGGGTGAGTTGGCTTTACATCTGTGTACCTCAGTTTCCTCACCTGTCCAATGAGAGTCCCACTAGCAATTTCCACAGAGGACTGCTATGGGGATCTCCAGTCTCTGTGAACAGTGCCTGGCACACTGTAGGCATAATGTGTCTTAGCCACTTGTAAGAGATCAGGTCTTGGAAGGAGACAGATTTGGATTTGAAGCCTTGCTCTGCTGCTTATTTGCTTTGTGATCTTGGACAAGTCACTTGACTTCTCTCATCTTAGGTTCTGTGAAATGAGAAATGTAATCCACTCTTTCAAGCATGGCAGGAGGTTTGGATGGGATGACATGGATAATGTCCCAGCACAGGAGACAGGAGGTTAATACATGGGTTCTATCATCACACACACACACACACACACACACACACACACACACACACTACCTCACACTCATGGTTGATGTCCTAAAGTAGTGCTTTATGCCCCCCTCACGGCTAACACAAACACTCTTTTCCTTGTGGGGAGGGAGAGGTAATTAGTCCCTGAACCCCCAACACTCATTCACAGATGCATTTGCTCCATTAGCCAAAAGCAGGTCCTGCAGATGGGGCTGGGAGGTCCTCACCCTGGCTCTGCCACAGCGATGTTATGTGACCTTAGAGCTATCATGCCCTTTTGTGAGCCTCCTTTTAATCATTAGTAGATTGAGGGCTGGACTCCGTGTTAAAGGAGCGTCCTGCAGCCTTGTTGCAAGCTGACACTACATTCGGACCTTGCAGGAGTCAGTGGGAGGTTACTGATGGTTCTAAGAGAGGAACTGTGGCAAAGGGTGAGCCCTGGGGTGGCATCTATTTGGTCTGGTATGTGAGTGTATGGGTGCAAGAGCCTGAACAGGAGTGGCAACTGCGTGAAAGAGCAAATGTGTGTAGATGCGTGTCTGCATGAGTGGATGTGTATGGATGAGTGTGTGCATATCTGTGCACGAGTGTGGGTGTGCATGGATGAGTGTCTGCGTAACTGTATTACAGTACTGTGTGAGTCTGTGTACATCAGTGTGGATATGAGTGTGCATATGCACATGTGTGTCTTTGTGTGTATGTATAGGGGAGTGTGCGTGAGCAAGAGAGTACGTGGATGTGTATACTTGAGCTCCTGGGTGGTGCTGGTGCCCTGGAGAAGCCCCAGAACAATCAAGGCTGGAGTTTGGCTGGAGCAGAACTGCCCACTCCCTACCTCCTGCCCATCCTGGCATCCTCCACCCTGGGCAATCAGGCTCCACCCAGCCATTCAGCCTCCAGGCCAAGCTGGGACCGCGGAATGGATGGAGATGGAAACCGAACCAGGCCTCTGCCCTTGGCAGGTCCAGACACGTGGCCTTGCCTCCTGGCAGGGCACTTGTCCCTAGGGATCACTCCCAGGCCCTGCCGTGGGACTCTAGTAAGGGCACCAGGTGCAACTAAGTGCCTGGTGAGGGGACTATCTTTAGAGATGTAACAGTTTTGCTTGGAGTGGCCTCAGGGTCATGCCGGCAGGCGGCCAAGGAGACTTTCTCTTTTAGCTGAGCTGTAGGCCAGAGCCATGTGCCATCCTGCAGGGGAGGGGAGTGTGGGAGGAAGCCAGGCCTAGGGGAAGGGCATGCAGTCACCAAGGCCATCTGCCATCTCTTTATCCTGGGGACTGGACCAGACTTGGGTGGTCACCACTCTGTGTGACTGAACATCAACCACCCCTGGGCAAACTATCTTCCCTGGGGGGGGGGGGATGGAATTAGCT